ACAATATTCTAAAAGTATCAAAAACTTTAATAAAATTGGTTCAACGTAGACATAGAGATTTTTGGCATTAGAAACCCTTATTTTTGGAACCTTTGCTGTTGTATCATAGGCTTAGGGATCATAAATGAAGGGAGTCATAGAAGAGAAAAGAAGGGAAAGGGAGTGGACAAAATGAAGTCCATCGATGGGTTTACAATATTCTAAAAGTATCAAAAACTTTAATAAAATTGGTTCAACGTAGACATAGAGATTTTTGGCATTAGAAACCCTTATTTTTGGAACCTTTGCTGTTGTATCATAGGCTTAGGGATCCTAAGTGAAGGGAGTCATAGAAGAGAAAAGAAGGGAAAGGGAGTGGACAAAATGAAGTCCATCGATGGGTTCACAATATTCTAAAAGTATCAAAAACTTTAATAAAATCGGTTCAACGTAGACATAGAGATTTTTGGCATTAGAAACCCTTATTTTTGGAACCTTTGCTGTTGTATCATAGGCTTAGGGATCCTAAGTGAAGGGAGTCATAGAAGAGAAAAGAAGGGAAAGGGAGTGGACAAAATGAAGTACATCGATGGGTTTACAATATTCTAAAAATATCAAAAACTTGAATAAAGTCGATTCAACGCAGACGTAGAGATTTTTGGCATTAGAAACCCTTATTTTTGGAACCTTTGCTGTAATATCGCAGGCTTAAGGACCCCAAGCAGGAAGGGGCCATGAAAGAGGAAAGAAGAGAAAGGGAGTGGACAAAACGAAGTCCATCGATGGGTTCACAATATTCTAAAACTATTAAAAACTTTAATAAAATCGGTTGAACGCAGACGTAGAGATTTTTCGCGTTAGAAACCCTTATTTTTGGAACATATGCAGTTGTATCATACACTTAAGGACCCTAAGTGAAAGGAGTCATAGAGGAGAAAAGAAGGGAAAGTCCATCCATGGTTTTACAATATTTTCAATGACAGAGGAGACGAGGATAATTCTAAACGAAAAATTAGAGAAACCGAGACGATCCTCTCTAGAAGAGAGTGTCATATCGAACTCGATAACGAGAGATCAGAAGTCGTTAGTTTTTCTTCTTATATAGACGCATATACTCGTCGCTCTTGAACCGTCCCTTCTCTTTGTACAATCAATCATATTTTAATAATAAATACAGTTTCTACGTTGATTTTAGCACTCGTG